CAAGCCAGATCATGGGTCTGGTGACCTCAAATAGAAGTTGATAAAGAGAAGAGTGTTAGAGTATGTTACACTTGTCAGCAACACGCTAATGATCCGGCCAAAGCTCTACTATTTCCGTGGGATTGGCCAGACGAACCTTGGAAAAGGGTACGTCTAGTTTTGCAGGCCAATTTGTAGGTAGAATGTTTCTGATAGCCATTGACGCTCATTCTAAATGGTTGAAGGTTAGAATGATGAATAAAACTACTGCCTTAGACACAATACTTGAGCTCCGTGAAGTGTTTTCCTCATAAGGCCTTCCTGAAATTGTGGTAATGAACAACGTTTAGACTTTCACAAGTTCCATGTTCAGATCGTTTATGAGTTTTAATGGGGTGAAGCACATCACAGTTTCACCTTGCATCCATCATCCAATTGTTTATCCGAAAGGAGTGTACAAATTTTCAAAAGGGTCAAAAATGAAATCAGGAACTTTAAGAGAGAAGCTAGCAAAATTCTTGACGAAATATAGGACAACTCACCACACTACGACTGGTTTGTCGCCTGCAGAATTGATGTTCGGGGGTAACATCAGGACACATCTGGATCTTTTGCATTTGCGTCTGCATCAGAAAGTAGCAAAGCAAGTAGAATCACAGAACTCTCAGCATGATAAGACAGCATGTGAGAGGGAGATTTCAGTTGGTGACAATGTTTGGGTGCGTAATTTTAGTGGGCAGGGGGAGAAGTTGGTCCCAGTTATGGTTGCGGAAGCAACAGGTCCTTTGTCTTATAAGATCAGAACAGCTTAATACGGTCTGGTAAGAAGACACCAGGACCAGGTTCGTGTATCTTCTTCATTAGATACAATGTCGGGTGAAGAGATTCATGTTCCGAAAAGTAGCGGCTCTAGGGAGTCTAGACTTGTTGATGGGGAAAGAATTACTGTGAATGAAATATATCCACATACAGTTGAAAGAAGCGAATTTTAAGCTGCTGATACAGAGAAAAATCAGGAAATTCCAGTTCCCATTCCAAACCAAA